TCTGTCTGTCTGTCTGTCTCTCTGTCTGTCTGTCTGTCTATCTATCTATCTATCTATCTATCTATCTAATATGTTATTTTTTATTTATATATTTTGTTGTTTATTTTTTTTACCTACTTTATAGACTTTTCCCCCCCTGAGACTGGCAATGCCCACACTTTCATTACTTCATTACTTTTAACTACATACAAACTCCAACTTAGATAAATATTGATAAATATTTCATATTACAGATAAATATTGAAAGTAAATGGTCTGCAGTGTCAGAGCGATTCAAACTCACAGCCGTTTTAATGTGATGGAAAAAAAATCTAATTCATTGCACATTTTGAAAACATTTTTTGGAAATCTGTCACTAAATTTAGATGTAGTGAGATGTCCATCCCCCCCCCTGAGACTGGCAATGCCCACACTTTCATTACTTCATTACTTTTAACTACATACAAACTCCAACTTAGATAAATATTGATAAATATTTCATATTACAGATAAATATTGAAAGTAAATGGTCTGCAGTGTCAGAGCGATTCAAACTCACAGACATGAAATCACCACTCCTACTCATTTGCAGGTGTCCATGCTGGCTAAAAGGATGTATTAACACACTCTATTCTATTTTATTCCTTTATTTTCGTAGGCAAATATCACAGGAAGACAAAAACTGGGAACACAATATTCAAGAGCTGCAGAAAAAGGTAAAACAAAGCTGCATTAACATGGCTTTGGTTGATTAAGTGTTGTACCTCACTGCTAACCCTGCCTTATCTTTCTGATGTTATCTTATTATATGATAAGAAACTTGACCAATTTATTTGATTCCAGTGGAGTCAAAATTTAGAACACCCAGGACCCTGATAATAATAATAATTATTATTTATATATAATAATATATATATAATAATTATTATTTATGTATTTATTTATTTACAGCCATATGTTTTTTGATTGTACAAACATAAACAAAATCACAAATTATCACATTAAGTGTCATAATATTACTATGAGCTGACGGTGAATAGAAAAATGTACAATTTTGTGATTGTATAGACATTAGAAGTATTTAAATTTACATTTATTCATTAAGCAGATGCTTTTATCCAAAGTGACTTACAAATGAAACAGTGTTTATAGTTTTGTTTCTAAATATCAATTGATATTTGTGACACGTGCTGGCAAAATGAGTCGGAATGCGCACGGGGTAATTTTGAGCTAAGTTACAGGCAAAAAAGTGAAAAATGACGATTTTGGTCGAATGTGAGGTTTTCACAAAAATGAGTTCATTAAGCCCTCGTCTACTGATCCCAATGCTCCAAATAGTAATTAAACATCTAAAATGATCTTTATTTGGACATTTTATGAGAGGAGTAGCGCTTCTCACACTGACTTTCATCCGAAGTGCGTGCATAAAGGCGCTTCCGGTAGCACGCGATCCCGATAAGTATACACATATTCACAGAATTACAGTAGGCCTATTTAAGTATTCACGCAAATATAATTCGTTATGTCTTAAGTGAACGTTTGGGGTACTGTTGAGGAAAAACATCGGATGTGTAACATTATATGTGTGTATGTAATTTGACTGAAACCGCACGGTACGCCACTGCGAGTTATTTTTCCAGCACAGGTCACATTTGATGGTTTTATTCACTTGGCAGCCAATAATTCACTACAAAAACACTTTGTGTTTGGCACACACCATCTTTAGCCTTTGTGCAGTTGAATCTGTATGTAATGTACTGTGGGTTATGTTTTTGATAAAATACTATTTATTGGAGTTTAAAGGTGCTGTATGTAGGATTGACACCGAGTGGTTGAACTAGGTATTGCAGTCAAAATATTGGAGAAAGTTTTTCTCACCCGGCCCCTCCTCCTCAGACTTGACGCACACGCAGGATGTTTCTCCTCCCTTGTAAATGTTAACATATAAAGCTAACCATACTGTATATGATTAGCATTGTAATATTTGCAGTTTTGCATTTTTTTTTCACTGATATAAGTGAACCTGTCAGAATAGACTTGTGGATTGCAACTCAACAGTTGAGAAACACTGTTTAGAGGGCATAATAGGTATTTGACACGTTTCTTTCTCCCCTGTGTCTAAACATGTTTTTCATGGTCTTTTACAGCACAGAATAACTGACAAAATCCTCCTGGTCAAGTGTCTGACTGTCCTTGGGGTGGTCATCTTTATGTTCTTCCTGAACTCCTTTGTCCCTGCCATACATCTGGATCTGGGTAAGCGAGAGACAAACAAGGACACAAATTATCAGGATTCATCCGTTTCTATTGCTGAACTGGCCCTGCTGTTTACATGCCTCACTGTATAATTATGAGGGCTTGTTTCCTCTCTGTTTGAGCAGAGGAAATGGAATCACAAGAATATCTCGCTATTTTTGAAATGATCAAAAATGTGCCAATTCCTCTACCATGGAGCAAACATTTCATTTTATATGCATTATATTAGGGTTCATAGAATAAAATTAGAGAAACGAATGTTATTAGGCTAACCACTTTCTCCCATGATCTAATTGTTGTGTGTATGAATCCGTCATTGTGTTGATGTCATAATTGTTTGCAGCTGGGCTTTAAATGCAGAAAGAGACACAAACGCAAAACCATAACAGTGGAGTAACGTGAGATTAAATAAGACAGCTAGTATTACTCGACCTAAAATTAGTCTGTTTTATTTTTTTCTGTATTTTTTCTTTCTGCCGCACAGCCTTTCATTTTGCGCTAACTTTGTCGAACTGGTTTATGGACGTGTTTATTATACGGTGAATGAGATGTCAATTACAGATGGAAATGAGATCGAGAACTTCACCAAACACTATTAGTGTGAATGAGTTGGTCAATCAGAGAATGCCAGCCTTGCAGCTCGCTGAGGTTGTTGTATTGTTTGGGTCTGATTGTGTATTGATAATCAATTCTCATTTGTGGACAGTTTGATCTTGTGGAAAGAAGACACATGAATATTATTTTCTAAATGATCATGTCACATCTCTTCATATATACAAAATCATGTTTTTTTTGTTGCCTTCCACAGCTGTGTACTTAATTAATTGGCAATGATCGAAAAAATAATCACTGTACATTACCATTTTCAAAAAAACGTGTGGTTCTGCTTTCAAATTCTCCTCAGTGCCTCGTTCTGATCAAAACCAGGGTCGACCAGCATGGCCTGCAAATGACTGTCATTAGACTTTCATTAGGTTGACACATCACCACTCCGTTTGACCTTTGATATTGATTATTTAATCATGGGCGAGGATACAGTGCGCCTGCTGGAGGGCAATGAAGCACACAGGATGCGCTGCACTCCGCATGTCTTTCCAACGAAAAGCACATTCATGACAATTAAGTGATTCTTAAGCCCCAAGGCCATCCGTTTCCCAGAAAAATTATGTAATTACAGTTTGATTCTGCTATAACTGACTGGTGAACATTTAGCACATTTCTGTGAACAATATGAGCAGTAACAGTGCATCCGGGAGTTTTCTTGATTTTTTTAGGTCACTGAAAAGCTGTTGAGAGATAAAAAAGGCTCTGAAAGGTCATTTCTATAGGTCCATCAAAACATTTCACATGTAGGTCGTAACGGATTTTCAAGGAAATATCAATAATTTTCACAGTGTGAGAATTTACTCTGAAAGTAAAGATATTTTCCTGCTCAAAAAATCCAAAGAGATTGATAGAAAACAACAAGCAACATTTAACATTTGACTTAAGAAACTTGCAGTACTCATTTGCTTATGTAGTTCAAATTCAGCAGTTCTGCTTAAAGTTGCTAATTGATTTGGTAGTTTTCCAGAAATATATAGACACCTAGTGGCATGGATACAGATAGAATAAAGCATGAACAAAAATGTTCATTACACATGATAAAAATACCCATTTCATATAGTAAGCCATGAATAATTTATTCCACAAGCGAAATGTTCGATAACAAGAAATTCCAGAGAAAATGAGAAGTATCTGGTCATGTGATCTCAACATTTCAACCCCCATGAGGCGATACTCCATGTGAATTAAGCAGCTTTATTATCTTTATTATTATGGACATGTTTTTATGAGTCGCGAGTCTTTAACTCATGTGAATGTTTGTTTTAAACCATTTTCTTTTAAATATGCGCTATGAAACTTTGGCCTCTTCTCTGTTTGAAATGTAAAATAGTAAAATTATTTCTTTACATGGGTTATGCTTTGGCACTGCTCCTCTGCAGAATGATAAATCTGATGGTTTAAGGTATACATGTTGATTTGTTCATTTTTAACCAAAATCTCTTCTGTAGTGCAACTTTAAAGCAATATTCATTTATTTAGGGGTGAAACTTTTTAAACGAGGAAACGATTACATTTAAGATCTGGACCACATGCATATTAAATATTGCTAATGTAATTCATCTCTTGATATGGTCATTTATTTATGAATAAATAAGTTAAAATCCAGACATAATTTATCTCCTGGGCAGCACAAAAGCTGTACCACCAAATAATGAATGAGGAAACCGAGGAAGATTAATCACAGTAGAACACACACAACAGCTCATTTCTTCCCAGAACATCCTGAGAGAGACAGAGTTCTTTATAAATAAGGTGCTTGTGGAAACACATTTGCTTTAAAATGAAGAACATGATGAGGTGGTGTTTGTGTCTCACTCAACGGGCCAGAATGCCTGTGTTGTTTTGGGTATGATGAATGAGCCTCCCAGGCTTTTCAGCAAACTTGTTTTAATTGCAGAGCCTTCTTTCTCTCTCTGTCTCTCCCATTTTTCTGCTCTGTTTGTGCTGCGCACTGCCGAAGGCCCCCAGTTCCTCCTACGTCTTCAGTTGGATGCCGTGGGGGAACATTGAAGCAGAAAGCAAATCAAAAGTTACTTTTTTGGACTAGTGTTGTGACAAACCGTCCCAGTGCCAGTGTGGAAGAAGTCTGGGATTCATTTCACACCATGCATGAAGTACAGTGCTAGAGTTTGTAGTGTGTGTGTTTGTGCCATCCAAATCGGTGAATATGCTTCACTTTTTGAGAAAAGATGCACAGTTATTATTAAGACTAGTATCATATGATCTTAAAAATATTTTAGACTTTGGAAGGCCTTTTGACTTTTGCCGTTTATCTAAGATGATTTTGGAAGCTTTTTTAACATTAGTTTCTGATTTATTTGGTTCCACCGTGTTTGCTGATTTTCATTGTTTTATATTTAAACTGTGTAAGTTATTTTATTATTATTTTTTTTTTTAAACATTCTCTTTGTTTTTCGTAAAGAGAGAACAATAGTCTATAAAGCATTCCCAAGTGTCATAGAACTTATAAGCTTTATATTGTATAGAAAACCTAATTCTTTCTAACTGAAGGTATTGCATGACCTCTCTTATCCAAGTGAAATGGGTCGGGTTTTTTTTTTTGTTTCCAATTAAGAAGAATAAGTCTTCGTGCAATAAGCATCACAAATATAATCACAGAATACTGACTCTTTGATATTGTAATGTTATCATCTTTAACCCCAAAAAGAGCTAATACTGGCTCTGGGTCCAGAGGTCTTCTTATAATATGTGACATTATTTGAAAAATTGTGGACCAGTAAGTAATGATTTTAGGACACTTCCAAAACATGTGCGCTAATGAGGCACCTGATTGTCCACATCTATCACAGGTTGAGTCCACAGATGGAAACATCTTGGAAAGTTTTTGTTTAGAAAGATGAAGTCTGTGCAATATCTTGAACTGTATAAATCCGTGTCTAGCACATATTGAGGAAGAGTGAACCAGTTTTTGTGCGTCATCCCACTGGTCTTCTGTAATATTTATTCCCAGATCTTCCTGCCATGCTTCACATAGATATTCCAGTGATATGTTACATTCAAGTTGTGAGAGTTTCTTGAAAATAACAGATATGCCGCCTTTAACAAATGGGTTATCCAAGAACAGTGAGTCCATTGGTGAGTCTGGTGGTTCCTTGGGGAATGAAGGAAAATTATTTTTGATAAAGTTACGTATTTTGTAAGCTACGTTTGCAAGTATCTGAAAAATTGGGACTTCGGCAGATTAAAACTCTTTTGTAATTGTTGAAATGAGGAAAAATATCCATCTATGAACAAATCTTTGAGTAAACAAATTCCACTTTCAGACCAGTTACGAAATGATACATCTGATATGGATGGAGGAAATGAATGATTAGCAGTTAATGGAGCCTGAGTAGAGCATGCATGCCATTTATAATGTTTTCTTATTTGAGACCATATCTTAAAAGAATGAGTTACTACAGGGTTTATTATCTTAAATGAAGGAGGAGAAGACAGAGTTAAAAAAATTAGTCCCGGCCAAGAGGAGGGGGGAGCATGATTGGTTTTCTATCTCAGTCCAGTCAGCCAAAGGATCATAAAATGGAAATGAAAGGGCTCGTATGTTACATGACCAATAATACAACTGGAAATTAGGTAGACCCATACCACCCATAGATTTAGGTCTCTGTAAATACGTCTTCTTAATTCTTGGAGTTTTATTATTCCAAATGAACTGAGATACCATCTTGTCAATTTTTTTTAAAGAATGCCTTATTAATAAAAAAAAGGAATACACTGAAATAGAAATAGAAATTTAGGTAAAATATTGATTTTGATAATATTAATGCGACCTGCTAGGGAAATGAGTAAGTTATTCCATTTTTTAAAACTTTGCAAGGTCTGATCATATATCGTCAAAAAATTTCTTTAAATAATGCAGAGAAGGTTTTAGTAATATTGACCCCTAAATATTTAAAGGAGTCTGAAACTTTAAAAGGGCGAGAGTAGGATGGTTGATGTGTGTTTGCATGGTTAATTGTAAATAATACACTTTTAGAAAGATTGATTTTATAACCTGAAATAACACCAAACTCCTCTAAAATTGACATAATAGCAGGTATCGATATTGAGGGGTCAGAGATATATAATAGTAAGTCATCAACATACAGAGACACTTTATGTTCCTTCCCTCCTCTAGTTATCCCCCTGTAAGTATTGGAAGCACGTAAGGCGATGGCTAAGGGTTCTATGGCAAGCGCGAACAAAAGAGGGGAGAGAGGACATCCTTGTCTAGTGGAGCGACTAAGTGGGAAATAATTAGAAGTAGTACCATTTGTTTGCACTGAAGCTTGAGGCTTTGCATAGAGTAATTTAATCAAAGAAATAAATTTAGGGCCGAATCCAAACTTCGATAGGGTGGAGAAAAGATAATCCCACTCCACCCTATCGAAAGC